TCTCAAACCTGAAAGGACCTCTAAGAGCACACAACATAAACAAGCTTTGTTCAAGAAGTCAGCAGAGGCCTTGTAGCTAGTCTATAAATGCAAGCTCCTTTTCTGCCTCTTGAACACCAGCACCAACAACCTTTACTCTAAATAAAAACTTTGTACCAAAAGATGCAATGCACTTTACAGATTCATAGTTCAGATGTTGGTTTCATTTTAAGGAATAACACTACTTTTTTTTTTCTAGTCTGCTGAATAGGACCTGCCTAGAAAATAGACCTACACTACATTTTAATTCATTAGATTAATGAATAATATACCCAGCTCTCTCTCCAGACAAACCCCACAGATTTCCTGTGTGTCTGGCTCATTCTCCCTGTTTTCTAAATTATGAGTACTCCTTGGAAGTGGATGAAGAGATTCAAAAAAGGGATTTATTTTGAGAAACTACTGTGATTGAGAATGAGGAAAAGAAGACCAAAACAGAAAGGTAGAATCTGGAAGAAATTTAAAGCTATAGGTGAAAGGGACATTTTTGGGGAAATTTTAAAAATACATTCACTATTCATTTTCTAATGCAAATTTTTTATCAAAACTCATTGCTATTCTACACTCAGAAGTCTGAGGTTGAAGGCTTGGAAGTTCAAGGCCAGCCTGGGTTATACGATGAGACTATCTCAGAAAAGAAGTCACTACTACTTTAAGACATGGAATATATAATATGATAATCCAAATTTATTTTTTTAATATGTGGAGACTTACCAATAAGTAGAGGGTTTTTTTTTTTTCATTTTTTTTGTTTGTTTGCTCTCCTCTCTTGACTCATGCCTGTTATCTTTGCTTTGGTATCTTTAGCCTTCAAGTCAAATATTGACAGTTCCTTGGGTTTCCACTAAGGAGCAGTAGAACATTAAGTCCAAGAGTGGTTAGGACAGGCTGTGGTCCCAGACCATGAGACATTTCTGATTCACACTGCCAGGGAACCAAAGGAAATGAGAATCTTTAGTCTGAACCACCCTCAGCTGGAACTCCATGTCCTCTAAACCCAGGCCTTCATGGCTTCAGGAAAGATGGTTATGGTTGTTTATACAAGACCAGGTCACTGGAACTGCTCTTCTCAAAGGTCTTTCCCCCACCCTCATCCCTAGACAAATGAGATCAACATCAACCACCAGGTCCCAGAAAATGTACCTATCTTTCTGGAAAATGTCACCAGCTAGAAAGGCAGGGAGAGAAAGCTGGAAGGGCCAGGCTCCAGGTGAACATTTGGGTACCAGCCCTGAGGTGCTGCTTTGTAGTTGTTTTAGTTACCTTTTCTCATGGCTGAGACAAAATATCTGACACCCAACATTAAAGAAAGAAAGGTTCATTTGGCTCATACTTGACAGAGGTTTTAGTCCATAGTTGGCTGGTTCCAAGGCAGGAAGACAGGCATCACAGATGAGAAAGAGTTCATGGTAGGCAGAAGGTGGCAATGCACCAAGGGATGACCACAACTCCCCTATCTTTTATATCTTATCCACACTACTCAGGATGAGTAGCACTCACACCTGTAATCCTGGTGCCCTTAATCCTAGCATTACACCACAAATCAATCCCAGTGTCACACATTGTAGACCCACCCACCTCTGAGAAGCCTCACTTATGATCACATAAGGCTTTGGAGGGACATCTAGTCACAAACCATAACAGTAGTCTTGAGTTCCCAAGAGTTGCTGACATCTCTAAGCATATATCTGTCTCCTTATGGTGAAATGGGGTGGAGAGGGGGATAACAAGGTATATCCCCACCATTTTTGAGGTTTTTCATAAGAGGAAAGAATGCAAAAGAAACCTTCTAGGGCCAGCGAAATAGCTCAGCAACTAAGCACCTGCTTAGGAAAGCACAGGAACTGGGTTTGATTCCCAGCATCACATGCTGTGCGAGCCCCGCCCCCCTGGACACACTAAGTGGGTCACCAAGATGCATGCCTGTAATCCCAGCACTGGGGAGGCTGAAAACAGGAGGATCTACTATGTGTACAAGCTGTGTAGTGAGACCCTATAACCAAATACATTAAAACAACAAAAGAAGGAGGGAAAGAAAGAAAGAAAGAAAGAAAGAAAGAAAGAAAGAAAGAAAGAAAGAAAGAAAGAGAGAGAACTTCTAGGCCATGGAGTACTGCCATTATTTCTATGAATTCCCAGCCATACAAATTAGAAATTAAGGTATTTGTTGCACTTGCTTACTATGATACATGGATGGGCAGAAGTCAATAATTCTTATTCTGGAGCCAATGAGGTTTTAACATTGAGAGAATAAGTTCACCAATTGAAGCACAGCAAAGAAGAAATCTTACTTGTAACACGCAGATTCTTCTATTGGGAAAGTTCAGATAACGACCTCAACCCTATGATAAATACATGGAATAGAATTTGCTTACATGTGTCCATCACTTCACTCTAAGAAATAGAATTGACCACATTGTTTTCAAGGTCCTACTGAGAGTAACTAAAGTCTCAGTATTCATACCTGATAAGAAAATGTTTCAGGGGCCAGGGAGATGGCTCAGTGGAATAAGTGCTTCCCTGGCAAGTGCAAGGGCCTGAGTTCAATCCCCAGTTCTGGAAAAAAAAAAAAAGAAAAGAAAAAGAAAAAGAAAATGTTTCAGGCCAGCCAGATAGCTCAGCAGACTAAAGTGCCTATTTAGGCAGGAGCAGGGACCTGGCTTAGATCCCTGGTGTGCCGAGCTGGCCCCACTCCCAGGGCACACTGAGATGGCCATTGAGACTGAGCACACCTGAGACATGGTGGCACACATCTGTAATCCCAGTGCTTCGGAGGCTGAAAAGAGGAGAATCACTACAAGCCTGATCTGTAGTGAGACCCTATAGACCCTGTACTAAATACATAAAAAAAAAGAAAAAGTTTCAATCAGCCTTTAGATACATGAAAATTTTAAAATATAGAAGTATTGTGCATTTCTTCCCATTTTAATCTACTCAGGGATGGACAAATGAAAAAAACCTATGTTAACTCTTCTTCTTTTTCTAATACCCAACATGTGCAAGGGTCATCTGATTAGCAATAGCCTTAAAGCATTGAAAATACTTGTGCACCAGAAGGAGTTAATTTCTTAAAATGCTGTCTTTGCCCATTGAAGAAGGAATCCGATGTGACCAGCAAGGTCAAGGATAAGTAGTTCTACCTCCTCCCCAGGCCCTGAAGTCACTCTATACTTGCGTTTCTGACATCATGGCTTCTTGGTTCTACCTGGCCTCCTACTGATCTTGTTTTTCACTTCTCTCCCTCAAGATAGAACTACTGAGAGTCCTTATCACTAGCCCAGCACTTTGACACACAAATCTCCATAGCAACTGTGAAGCAGGTGGCAGGAGCAGGGTTTCTAGTATGGGAAAGCTGAGACTTTTAGGAGCTCATTCAAGGCAAGGGTTTGGACTTGGGGATTCTGGAAGAAATGTCTGGGTGTGCATTTACACAAGAGGTGAAACAAGGCTGGCAAGGCTGAGGCCCACTGTCCTGTGCCAATTCTCAAAGCACCTTTCCCCAGTGGAATGGCAGCAGCTCTGAGGTTTTGGCTTCCATCCCAACAGAAGTGGTGGGGTGGGAGGAAGTCCGGGAAGACTGAGTTTTCAAGCCCTCAGAACAGCATCAGAAAACAGCTACTGTGTGACCCCAATCCGAGACGGGGCTCTGACGCATGAGGATGTCATTTCTCTTAAATCCCTGTAGGAAATGAGAGATAGAACTAAGATGGAATGTAAACTATTTCTCAAGGAAGTCTGCTAGGTCTCTTCTATGAAGAGCTGCCCTCTGGAGGAAAGTCAGACAGGCTTTTTCTCCCCAACTCTTAACTATGGTTATGCAGGCCCTCGGCTAAAAAGAAGAGGAAAGAAGGAGGGTGTCCCACGGCACATAGGAGCCACGCTCAAGATCTGGCCAAAGCAGCAGCCACCTCCAAGCCCGGGAGGGCCCTTTATTGGTGTGAGTTTCATCTAGTTGTCCTGTGGCTTCCCTGACAACCCACTGCCCCCATGCCAACCTGCCACACACACCTCCTGCTGGCTCATCTCTCCTACTCAGCATGTAGCACCCTTGCCTCTTCCCTTCCTCACTTACCCCCCTACAAAGCACGCAAGATGTCCACACTGCCAGGAAATGGACCATGTGACCAGAATTTTAAATTTCATACATCCGATTTAAGAATAACACATATGACCTAGATGGTGAGGATGGGTCAGAAATACAGAGAACAAGTTGCTGGCATGGACCATGCATGACTGTGGTTAGAAGCAGAGACTCTGAGGCGGAAGAGGACCTGGGGACCACACAGGGCTACTTTCCCTTTCTGATGGGACCTGGTTGTCATGCTGGAAACGCATTTCCACTTGGTGATGGGCAGAAATAGGAGGTGGATGTGGACCTCAGGCAATCAAGCGGTCAAGAGCAGAGGTCCAGTATTCCAAGGCTGAGCTCTACTTCTGGAAACCTGCAACTTACTAAAGCCTCTCTTCTTGTCCCAGAGGCTACCCTGGAAAGCAGGTTTTGCTTTAGCCTTTATCTTTTTGGAGGGAGGGTGCAGAGTTTTGCCTAATCACATACAGATCTCCTCATCTGAGCTTGGAAGTTCTGAGTGGTGATGAGAATTAAAGGGACATGAGAAGACACTGCGTATGGCCGGCACGTCACAGGGATCCCAAACATCCAGCTACCTCTTTGCCTTTCTCTCTGTCTTCCCCCATACAGCCTACCCTTCTTTACTCTACATTTCCTCTCTGTCCTTGGCAACAATTTTGGGAACTAGTTATTCATCGCCAATAAAATGTTGCAAGTAGTTGGAAAGAAGACAGAGCATAGAGAACAGAGCTAAGCCAGGCTGTGGATGCCTGCGTGGCAGGTACCCCTGCCATGGCAGCAGAAGGGAGCCCTAGGGTCAGAGCTGGGGACACGGTGGCCTCTGTCCCACCTGCATTCTCCCTGCGGACTCTGGGCACACAGGACCTCTTACCTGGAGTGGCAGAGCCGCTGGAGGGGCTGGGTAGTTCCTGCTGATCTGAATGGCCGGGCAGTATCTGTAGAGCTGTGCTCTTGTAGCCCGCACTGTGGTACCTGGGTCTCCTTCATCTCTTGGGCTCCTGTCAGCAGCAGGGGCCAGGGCAGCCTGTGGACCTGGGCATCGCATGTCATTCCTAGACAAGGGGTCCGTGCTCCACAGGTCCTGGGGGCCAGAGGGGACAGGCCAGCACCTGCAGCCCGTGGAGGGAGCCCTGCTTCCATGGCTCATGACAGGAGCCGGGTTAGGGAGCCCATAGGACAGTCGGAGCTTCCTTGAGGCAGGGGCCAGGCAACGCCCCGGGTGTGGGGGTCCAGGATCACCACCTCCTGTTACATTCCGGTGCCGGGATTTTCCCTTTCCCTTCTCCTTCGGTGAAGAGCGGAGAGCCGCTGGCTGCTCTGCCCGGGGGCCTTCTTCTTGCAGCAGGCTTGAGGAGGGAGCAGCAAAGCCCTGCGTGCTCCCGGGGCCCCAGCCTGCCAAGAAGCCTGTCCTTGGACTTGGGAAGCTGGGTCCCTCCTCCAGGCCCCCTGGGGCTGCCTCAGAGGCTGCAGTGGCTGGAGACTGGGTGGGGAGAGCTCCGGCAGGGGGGGCCCGCAGCTGGATGAAGAGGAAGGAAGTTTGCAGCTGCTGTTGCCTAGGCTGCTCAGCCATTTCCTCCAAGGGGGTAGGGCTGGTCCTTGGCGGGGTCGAGTTTCAGACCTCAGTGCCCAGGGATGCAAAGAGCGGCGGCTGCGGGCAGACGTGACTCAGCCCCATGGTCGCCCAGCCAGCCTGAGGGGGAGAGGGGAGGGCACACCTTCCTCACCCCAGGAGTCTCTAGGGAGGGGTGCAGGGGTTGCTGGTGACTTGGAGCTGTGCCTTCCTCAATTCACACAGACCGGAGGAACACCTGCAAGAGAGGTGGGAGGGGGCAGTGAAGACTTGGGGTTCTCCCCTGTGGGGGTCCACATAGAGTTACTTTGCCTTAACTGCACCTTTCCTTCCCATTGAAATGAAAATACTTTCACTGTTTATCCCTAATCTTTGTATTAACTCTATCAATGACTTGGTGTCTGACCCATGAGACACTGTTCCTTAGAAATGACGCCTCCAGTATACTTTGGAGTGAACTTTAATCTACTCGGCAATATTTTCTCTATTTGAAGACCTCTCTGCTAAAAAGTCTGTCTTAAACCATCTTAATGTTTTTATGGAACTCCATTCTGAAGACTGTGGGGATTCAGGAGTCATCCATGAAAAGTGTCACAGTCCTATGTTAAAATGCCTCACTTGGGCCTATGACCCAAACGTGTCCCCATCAAAATTCAGGTGTTGCCAATTTTGGACAGTGGGGGGGAGATCTCTTCTCCTTGGAAATGGGATTAGGACTCAGCAGGAGGCTTCATGTCACATTTTGGGGCTTGTCCTGCCTTCCATGTGTGTGCATGCGGCAAGACCCTCCCCAGTGCTGGTGCTGAGTCTTTGCCTTCATTCTCCAGAACTATGAGAGATAAGTTTCTGTTCTTTACATATTGACCCAGTCTGTAGTAGCTTGTTACAACACAAAAGACCTTTTTAAGACCCTTGACATCAGCAAAAAAAGAAGTAATAAAGGGAAAAAAGCAAAAAGAGAAAAGGACAAAAATAAAAATAGGTACAGGTAATGCATTAGGTTGAAGGGCTTTTAAAAATAATATACCTTTTATTACTTATGAGTACAAAAGCATTCCTTTGCTTTTAAAAATGGGTCCATTTCTTTCTAGCATGGAATAGCAGGTAATTCAAAATTATAGTAGAATAAAAGTGTAGGAGAAGGACGCTACGGGGAACTCACCTGCACATACAGGTGAGTAATTCAGCGCAGAGCACTTCCACGGGTTCAGAATATCGCAGGGTGGATAAAGGACCTAGTGCTGACCTTATTCTGGAGAAGGATGGAAGACAAGGATGAGGAAGCTCTTGTCTTTTCCACTCTGAAATACCTTGACCAGAAGAGAAAAAGAACATTGTCCTCTAAGCCACTGGGAGCCCGCAGCCCAGAACATTCCTTCCCGTGGGGGCTCCTCATGTGGAGCCCCAGCTACTTCTCCCTCCCTGGCTCCCCCGCCATTCTACACCCTGTGCGGCAACTGGAGCCATCAAAGGTAGCCCTGGCTGCCTCTGCTGGCCAGGCAGAGTCTTGGCTGAGCTCCGAAGTGAGTTTTCCTTTTTAAAATGTTTTTGCATAGTATTTTCATTCAAGATTTCACCCTGGCCCTCACAGGCTAAGGGAAGCCACTATGACAGCCACAACAAACACAGGGGAAAACATGGCAAACAAAATTATCTCTAAGCTTAATTACATGTTGGTAGATGACACTCATTTTCATCACCCTGTAAGTGATACCACGTCTTTTTAATGTAAGGTTCATATTTTTTAATGCAAGCCTCACAATATCCTATAAAAAATTTGCTTTTACATTGCAATTGCTCAACAAATACTAGTCTATTGACAAATGAACTGCCAAAAAATGAGAAAGGCTGTGTTTTCAGAAAGAACAGGGATTTGGTAGAGAAGGAATCATTTGGTTTCAACCTCTAGCAAACATTCTATCAGGTGCTTTAGGTGGCATATACCAGGGACAGCGACAGTCCTCTGACTCTGGCGGTGCATTTCTTGGCAAGGAGCTCAGGGAAGTGAGGTAGCAGCCTGATTTTTTTTTTAAAGCTGCATAAAGGCAGAATTTTAAAAGTACACATTCAAAGAAGCAGTGCAGGCCCACTTGTGAAAGGCATACACTAGTTGAGTGTTGGGGATGTTTTTGTGTTTCATGGGCTAAAGTTCTAGTGAATTTGGGAATCTGTGGAAAGTTTGGTCTTGGTGTGCAGGATACAAGCTTGTGGCCCACTCACACATTGAAGGACAGTGGCTTGTTCTATAGGCCCAGTCTATTGGTTGCTATTTATTTTAAGAATGGGGCCCTGTAGGATGGTCTGCCTAAAAACATTCTTTGAGTCTGTATGAAACTTTTGAATCTGTGTCTTTATCTTTTGAGGACAACTAGCCCAGGTAGGCAAGGGAGCTAAAAAGCTATCTCAGGGGAGTTTCTCTTCAACACCTTTGTTTTTTTCTGATTGAAGTTCAGTTGTCCAACTTGCAACTAAAAGAAGGTACCAAAGACACCAAAGTGGTGGTAGTGGCATATCCAGCACCTCTTTCTTTTCTTTCTTCCTATTTGCGAGCTTATTGTAGGGTTGCTTATAGCCAAAGATTTCATTTTCAGGTTGTGTGGGCTGGAATAGGGGAAGTGTAAGAGAGAGAGGTGGGTGACAGTGAACGCAGACAGGAGTGCTAACTTATAGGCTATGTGTGAGGTGGGAGACACTAAAGAGGTTAGAGGGCTGGAGAGATGGCTCAGTGGTCTAAAGCACCTACTTGAAACAAGCTTGGCAAAGCACAGGGACCGCGGTTCGATCCCCAGCACCACATGCCAGCCAGCCCCGCCCCCTGGTGGGCTGAGCTGGCCAAACACACACACAATAAATAAATGTAATAAATAAAAATAAATAAATATATAAAAAAAATAAAAATAAAGAGGTTAGAGTTCTTAGGGAAATAGGGGAAGGTGCCCGAGAACATAGGCTACTGCTGCAATGTGAAGGGCTCAATGACTAAAAGCCAGCAATTTGGTGCCAGATATTCCTCTGAGCTCTGCTAACCCTGCGTGGCTGTGTGACCAGGACCAAGTGACTGAACCTCTCTGATAATTAGTTTTCCCTAAGATTAGATAATAATATCTATTTCACAGGGTAGCCCTGAGGTTTAAGTGGCGATATATGTAAAAGGCATAGTACTGTAGTTGGGACTTAACAGGTTCTCAATAAGCTATTCTTAGAACTGGTATTCACATACTATTGAGGCCTTGGGGACATTTGTTTACTCAATGGAATAGCAAATGCACATGAGATGTGACCATAACACATGGAGGACATTTAAATCTTAAATTATTATAGTAACAGAGACCTTGCTATTAATCCCCCTCAAAACACTCCACCTTGCTTGGAGCATATCTATCCCACTGTTCTTGCCGCTTTCTGAAGAAGCTCTGGGAATCTTCTTTTGAGGTAGTCTATGGTGAATGTTGCTGCTGAGTGCGCTGTCCCGGAGAGGCACGCTTGGGAATGCTGCACTGTGTCCTCCTCCTCTGTGTTAGCTGGCCCTGGCATTGTGTGACTTCTGGCTTCCGCCCATCAAAATGACCATGGAAAGTAAGCACTTGGGACTGATTCAGGACATCAGGGCAGCCACAGTAGTACAGTCAATGCTATTCCTGAAAGAGGGCTTCCCGAGCTGCTTCTGAGAGTGATAAGGAGGCTGGAGCACTTGGAGGGGGATTAATGATAATGAGTCTTCTACTGTAATGATTTTTTTAAAAAAACTTACACATTCATTGCAGTTTTCAATCATATATAGTATATATAACGTTATGTACATACAGTGCTAGGGATAGCGACAGTCCTCTGGCTCTGTTAATGCATGTCTGGCAAGGGGTGTAGGGTGCTGCATATGCAGCGCTCTTTTCTCTGTAGTGGGTAATCACATGCGTGTGTTTATGCTTCATGTCTGAAGGGTAAGCATCCAAAGCTGAGGAGTTCACCGGAATGTGGGAGTGTCATAACGGATGTGGGGTCGGAAGACTTGGACTTGGATTCTGGAGCAAACATCTTACTAATTGTGACTCACAGCAGGTCTCTGAAACTCAGTGCCTCACCTGTAAATAGGCTAAGTAAATTTCTTCTCTTCTTCCTTACAGAATTGTTTGGCAGATCAAGTGGCATATCTGTGTAGTGGCACTTTGTGAAAATAAATCTAAGCTGTGCTCACATTGCAGAGCCACTCTATTATTAATCATTCCTAACTAAACCACTGTCTGATTTCTCTAAAGACTCAAGCTTTCTCTCTCAGAGATTTCTAAGTTGGCCTCCTGATTTTCTCCTCACAACTTCACTATTCATAAAAAGTGAATACAAACAACAGACAATATAAACTACAGTCTAACTCGGCCCATGATTTCGTCTCCTGACTTCCAGACAGATGAGGAACATTCTAGAATCTAGAGTGGAGACGCATGGGCACTCTGGCCCTGTGTCAGAGCGTTCTCTTCTCTCTCTCTCTCTCTCTCTCTCTCTCTCTCTCTCTCTCTCCCTGTGACAGCCTTGGGAAGCCGGCAACACACTCTTCCTTTTGGAAATGCAGGAAGAAGGAGAGAGATGGAGTGACTTGCTTTAAGTGACCACCTCCTCTCCATTGGTGTGTCCATCCCATCTGTCCTCCTATCCCTGACTCGGGTACCCAGGAAGACCCCCTGCCCCAGCCACTGCTCATCTGGGACTCTTTTCTCTCAGTTGTTTCTCTAATATTTCTAAGAGTTTACTTAATTCAAAGTAGTCTGAACATGGTATCTTCTCAGGACATGTTGCTCATACTGAGGAACATGAACTCTCCCCAGTGTGTGGTGGTTCTAGAGAACAAGTCTTAGAGCCCTAAGTCCCAGGAAATCCCAAGAATTTTGGCAGTGTTCCACTGGGTTAGAGACGCATACCAGCTTCCATTCTCGCCCATTCTCTGGCTGTTGGAAGTCCCGCCAAGTGCCCTCTGAAGTTGCCAGGCCCAGTTTGGTTGTGATGGGTTGGGCACTTGAAGTCGGAGAGGATGCAGTGGAAGTAATAATAACAGCCTCTCCTGTGGTAAGGATGGTGTTTAGAAAGTGGCTATATTCTTTTTATGTTTTTTCTTGGTGTTAGAGTTTGAGCCTAGAGCTTTCATGCTATGTTACATCGCCAGCTCATTTAAAAAATTTTTATTTTGAGATAAGTTATTGCTAAATCAATAAATTGCCCAGACTGGCCTTGAACTCACCATCCTCCTGCCTCAGCCTCCTAAAGGTTTGCGAATTGAGGTATATACTAACATGCCCATCACAAAATTGCATTTCTTTATTTGTACTTTTCATTAGTGCAGGTTTGCAATATGCAAGAAATACACCCATTATGGGGAGTTGGCACATACCCATATGGCACCTTTGTCCTTGGCCTGGCAGAGTCAACACTGCCAAAGATGAGCACTGGACAGTCCCACTCAGGCCCAACCAGACAGGCTTCAGATGGGCCAGCGTATTCTCTCTCCTGGTCAGTGACACACCTTCTGCACCGAGGCAGAGATTGTCTGACTGCTAGAAGAATTTTCAGAGAGGTGAGGACTTCGCTACAACATGATGGTGACGATGACAGTAACTACTGTCTTAGTCCATTTGGGCAGAAATAGCATAACAAAATAGACTAAATGACTACAAAATGATTTCTCACACCTCTGGAGGCTAAGGAGCCCGAGACCAAGGCGCCGGCAGATTACAGCTGACTTCTTGCTCCAGCCTTATATGGTGGAGGTGGCAAGACATCTCCCATGGTGAAAGGCCTAATCCATGCCAGTGAGTCCCCATAATCTAACTTCCTCCAGGCCTCGCCACCTAACCTCATTCATCAATTTGGGGATGAGGATTTCAACATTTTACATACATTTCTTCTAGTCCTGGGAACATGGCAAATATCAGAGTCTGTGTTTCAAAGACACAGATGCTGAAGTCTGCAGAAGATAAACTGTTGGCTCCAAATGACACAGAGATTAAGTGGATGCAGCCTCAGGCCTTTCAGCCTCTGATGTCAGTTCTTTCAAAAAGACCACACTGCTTCACACTGAGCACACTCAGGAGCCACCCTGGTCCTTCCTACACATCATCTCCTCAGGTCCTCAACGCTCTTTCTGAGCTGATATCCCTGTGACCATTTTTTTTTTTTTTTTTTTACCTGTCCCCTGAAAGCAAGCCCAGCTCTTGTGATAGTAGATGGCTCCTATCAGATAGTCTACTTGTGATGGTTATTTAGGGAAGAACCAGATGGGGAAAAGCTTGGGAAACATTCTAATCTGAGAGTCTTGCATTTCCATCCTGTGTCTATTTCCTCTACTTCCCCCAACCCCCGCCCCACGCACACAGAACGCTGGCACATTCTGAGTGGTTCTTTGTATTTTCAGTTGATACGTGCCCACCCTGGCATCTGATCACACAGGCAGACAGCTTTTGAAGAGCATGGAAAAGGAGCTGTGGCAGGCAAGAGCCCTGGGTTGCGGGGAGCTTAAGCGCTCTGCTCTGTGTCATGAGCAGACGGCCAGTTCCTCCTCTTGGTGGTTTCTGAAGGCTTTCACACTAAGGAAGTACAGATAGTTAGGGACAGTGACCACACAGCCAGGCAGAGGCAGCCCCTCTTTATAAAAAGGGTTGTGGGGCACTGAAGAGGTCGAGATTTCAGTGAGGATGGAGAGGCAGGGTTTTGTCCTCTCCTCTGATGGCTCCAGGTTTTCCCTCCCTGAGGTCATGTCCACATTGTTGTGAATTTTCTAGAAGCTGCCTTTAGAGAACTTGGGTTAGAGGAGCAGGAATGGCTTTGAGGAGCTCAGCTCATGTATAGTAAAAGGAGATGATGGGCCCTCTCTGGCCACCTCAGCAATGGCTGCAATTTTATCTGCACTGCCCCCAGCCAAGTGCCAGGATGAAGAAATGGAGACCACAATAAAGAAGCACTTTGCCCAAGGTCACTCACAAGAAGCAAAGACAACATTCGAGCCCCCGGTGTCCCAATTCTAAGCCAGAGTCTGCTGCTCCATCTTGGAGCCTCTCCGAGCCAGGCCTGTCCTCCTTCCCCCAGCAGCTGGAGCCCTCACTGCTTACCCTTGCAGATCCACCGATTCTATAACTCTGTACATCAGTCTGCAAGACCTGGCTCAGCCATTATCTTCCCAGCAGTCACCAGTGTCTCCAGGATAGGGTCAACTTCTCAGCCGGCAGCTTCCTCGAGCCTTCTGTACTATTCTCAGCCATTCTCCCACATTTCCCCTCTCCTGAGTGCTTCTGCCTCAGGCAAAGCTGTCCTCAGACCCACCACAGAAGCCTGATCAGGCCCCTCCTTCCCCCTCCCTCGCTAACCAAATGTCCTGCCTTCTGCATCCTGTCCAGACTCCTCCACCTCTATAAGCTCTTTGCCAGCCACTCTGCCACTCCCCTGTCTAGCCCCTTCTGCCAGTAACATTCAATTTGATGCCAATAACATATTATTCCTTCTGGTGCACATAAGAAAGACAGAGGAGAGATGACAATTTATTTTCCTGTAACTCCAATATAGTCTCAAAAGCCATCCAAATAATGTTGCAACTCTTTAACCATCTCCCCGGCCTCACCATGAGTAAAACATTTGGCTCAATTAAAACAGACCAGAACTGTATATTGTTAATTTTTATATTTACCAGACAATGAAATTCATGGAAACACTACCAACATATGACAAAATCACATGTATCAGGTATGACAAAAACTTAGGTGAATTTATTTTTTAAATGTAATTTAAACAAAATTACAGTAAATGTCACATTGCCATTAATCTCCTTCAAAATATTCTCTTGTGTGAAGAGGTGTTTAAAGAAAAATGAAGGAAGTTTTATCAGGTTTTAATCAAAACAATTACTAAACATATCCTGAGTACTTATTGACCCTTGTGCCACTACCCTCCACTAGTGATTCTGCAGGAATGCTATGAAGGTAAATAGGTAATCCTCAGCTCATTTTGAGAATCTAGTTTTTTGCTCTATTCCTAATTGCTACAATGGCAGAATGATCTAGAAGTCAAGAACCAGTTGCCTGGTCCAACATTAAACACAATGACTGTTCTGAGAAAGCCACGTTGTGGTCTCTTAAGCGAAAAGAAGTAGCAATCTAGATTGTAATAAGGCCTGATAATAGTTGGGATTCTCACTAGTCTGACATGGATTCCCTGCAGTGTTGTTCAAAGAGCTTATAGAGGTGGAATCCATGTTCCTGAGGTTCTTCAGTACTTTTCATACTTTGGTGTTGAGGATCAAACACAGGGTTTCATGCTAATGATGCGCTCTACTACTGAGCTGCCACCCAGGCTCTTGCTAAGCTTCTTAGCTTCTTCCCAAAAAGGCTTAAGGAAGGCCAACCACTGACTACAAGTGCAGTCTTCGAGATGCAGAAGAGTTATTTGGAGAAAAGCGATTAAAAGGGAAGCACCCTCGACCTCAATTGGGTTGCAGTTCTGTTCTCACCCTCACCAGCAGCATGCATGGAAATGTCTAACAGCTGCATGTAAAATGTAGAAGTACCTGCCTTTACTCAGATGGCTGAGTAAATGCCACTCTGAACAATGTCAGGGTTTTGGAGAAAAGTCAGAGTTGTGTTGCGTTGAACACCCTTGTGTACCAGGAATGTGAGTTCTGTGTCTTAGGGTCCCCAGAGGTGACTATGCACCAGTCAGTGTCTAAAAGCAGCACAGAGCCCCATTTGGGGTGCTGATTCCATGAATGAGTCTAAGTGGAGGCACAACACACATCTTTAAGTCATAATGAAGCCAAAAGTGCTATGGAGTTCAGAGGGGGGACATTGCATCGGATAGCACACATCATTTAAGTTGCTGGATTCATTCTTTTTTCCTTAATAACAGTACAGGTGCCATGTCTCTAGGACACACTGAGTTTGGCACATAGGAGGCATTCAATTAATATTTGAATATTGTTAATATAAGTATTCAATATTGAATAACATTTGAATATCATTAAGTGGTATACAGATGGGTAAGTTCTTGCTGTAATAAGCTATGTAATCTAATGGGAGTGAGAGAAAAATACTACCTTCAGTGCAAGGCAGAATGTAGTAAGTATCAACCAGAGGGACAGGGAGCCAGACACTAATTGTGACGGTGGTACTGGGTGGGCTCAGGGAAGGAGTGCCCTTCTGGGTGAGTGGGGCAGGGCAGCATTCAGTCCTTCTGCAGACACTGGAAGAAAGGCAGAAAATGAAAAAGTTCATGGTAAGTTTAGGGCATGATGTGATGCTGAGATGGAAAGTGTTCAGAATGTGTCAGGCTTAGAGTGGGAACTAAGGATGGAGGGTTCTTTTCAGATCATGGGGGCTCTTGAAAATCAGTTTAAGGGAGCATTTTGAAGGGCTCTAGGAAGTGGTGCTGCAATTTGGACCTGAAGTGTTCCTTAAAGGTTTGTGGTTGAGGTTGGTGAGAAAGCTCAGTGGCATAAGCACCTACCTAGGCAAACACAAGGTCCCAAGTTTGTTCGATCCCCACAACTAACTAACTAACTAACTAACTAACTAACTAACTAACTAGGGTTTGTGTGCTGCAAGTTTGGTTCCTGGCCTGTGGCACTATTCAGAGGCAGTGGAACCCTTTGGAGACAGGCCTAGATGAAGGAAGTATGCCACTGGGTGGGACTGTGCTCTTGAAAGGGATTTTCAGGCCTGTTCTTTCTGCTCTCATTCATTTCTTGGCTGCCATGAGGCACAGCCTTGCTCTACCATGTGCTGCCCACCACCATGCACTGCCCACCACCATGCGCTGCCTCAGCACAAGCTCAAAAGCAACAGACTGGACCCTTCAAAACTGTTAGCCCAAGTAAGACTTTTTGCATTATAAGTTGATTTGATGCAGGTTTGTTACAGTTAAAAACAAACAAACAAACAAACAAACAAACAAAAAAACCTGACTGACATTGGTGGTGATGTTAAATCTGCAAAAGATGGGCATTAATGTGTACAGTTCAGTCCTGCAGACCAACAAACCTATTTTAACTGTCTGGCATAAGCTGCTCCCCTCTACTATGCTAGAGCAAGAGAACTCCAGATGGCTACAAACTCACCTTGTGCCAGGCGTCACAGACAGCATTTCAGCAGTTCCTGCAGGATGCCCTAGTGCCCTGTGTCAGGTACCCTGATGCTGACTCTGAGGCTAACTGACTGAACATGGGTCCTGGTAGGAGGAAGGGCAGAGGTCTGAGTCTGGGTTGGTCTTCTTTCTAAGCTGTTCTCTGCCATGCTAAGCTGTGCTCTTTTGGGACATAAATCAAAGTGCTGCCCATGAAATATAGTGTATCTCTTTTTATCAGTTAAAGAATTAAGCTGGTATAGAGCTTTGAGCCACACAAGGACAAGGTCATGCTGAGTGGCAGGTACAGGTAGAGGTGGGCATGTGGGTTGCATTCAACTGTGTCTGGCAGCTCAAGTAGCTTTGACAGCCTTGGTAGGACGTAGACAGGCTGTGAGCATGCGGGTTTATCACACATGTTACCTGTCTTTCAGAAGGAAACCTTGCCTTATTTGTCCTAAGAGACCATGTTAAATAAGAGTAAGAGGCAGAGGGTTGAAAGGAAAGCTTAAAAGTACAACAGTTTGAAAATAGGATGCTTTTCACTATGTTTGTGCAGCTGTTGAAATGACAGGAAATGTTCATCCCACTTAATATGCACGAGGCTGTTTTCTTCAGTTCAGCATCACCTATCTTTCTCTGGAATCAAGATGGCTTCATAAATGGAAGAGAAAATGGTCCTTCTATGAGATACACCTTGGAAGACGCCAGGAAGAGCTCTTCAGCCTCAAAGATACATCCTACCAGATGCCAGAGAACTAAAAGTTCTCCCTTTCAAAGCCATTTCTTTGGGATAAGCACTGGTTTTCAGGTGGGGGTAGTTTTACCTTTAAAATACAAATTCCTCTGTGTTAGACTTTGGATCTGGAATGCCTGCCAAAGGCCTATGTGTTACAGGCATGAGGTCCAGCCCACCATGTTATGAGAAGTGGTGGAAACTTCAAGAGTTGGACACTGCGGACAGGTATTTAGGTGAGTGCCCTTGAAAGGGATAATGGGTCCTTGTCCCATCCTCTTTGTTTCTCTTACTTCCTGGGCATCAAATGAATGGCTTTGTATCCTCATGGTCCTGCCGTGATGGCTTGCTATAGGTCTCACATCTATCATTGAGTGGAACCTCCCAGACAGTAAGCCAAAAATAACCCTTTTCTCTTTGTAAGTTGATTATCTCGGATACAGAAAACTAGTCAGTATAGTCTGGGAGGAGAAAGCCTACAGCACTCCTCAGATCTCGGTGCGCGTGGTTCTTCACGTAGACAGATGTCTGGGCCCAGCAGCTTCTGAGATGCAGGGGTGGGGCTTTTTCAGGAGAAGAGAATGGACCACCGCAGGCCAGGAACAAGCCTCGGCAGCCCCTGGCATGGTAGCAGAACTCAGATAAGTAAAGAAGTGTGCAACTGAACAGTCCTCCAGCAGCTCAGATTTCTTGGGCCATTTACAGTAGCAGTGGGGGAATTTTCCTGTAGTCTTTTTCAATATGGAAAGTACAGTAAACGATGTTAAAATATATTAAGAAAACTAGTTTCACTCTTGCCAACTCACCATCATAACAAATATTTGCATCTGAAAACAAACATCCTAATATGTGTCAATGTGAGTGAGCTTTTTATTTGTTTTTCATTTAGCAATAGGAAAAAAAACCCAGTGAACACTCTTTAAAATAAATCCAGTCAAGCAGAAAATTGGGAAGAGCAGCAGCTGAGGAGAATGTGTGCACTGGGTGTAAATGAGTTCTCTTCCCTCCAGATACTTTGTCTTCTGGGTCACCCTGCGAGGGGCTGGCCGTGGCGGTGTTTGAGGAAGAAGCCATGGGAGGGGAGAGCAGTTGGCGTGTTGGTTTTAAAAGCTGCTCCTGAAATGTTTTGAGTGTTTTATTTCTAATATGTCTTCGTTACTTTTCTCATTGCTGGACAAAATATCTGATGTGAAAGTTAAACAAAGATTTATCTAGCACACAGTTTGTAAATGTTTGAGTCCATAATCAGCTGGCTTCAAGGTGGGGTGTCTTGGCAGAGGGACAATAGTTCGTGGCAGCAGAAGACAACAAAAACAGTAAGAATGAAGGAGGAGAATCAAGCCTCTTCTCCTTTATGAAGGTCACCCACCCTAGGGCAGTGTGGCACTGACCTCCCCAATCCCAGCACCAGACAATGAGCCAATCATAAGTTCTAGATTTAGCTGCCTACAACCCCCCCCCATAACTGCATGAGGATTTGGGGGAACATCCAGACACAAACCATAATAATACATGCTATGGAGACAGGAAGGTCACTGTGAGTTCAAGAACAGCTTGGGCTACTATGCAAGTTCAAGGCCAGCCTGAACTATATAATGAGACATAAGAAGAAGAAGAAGAGGAGAAGGAGGAGGAAGAGGAGGAGGAGGAGGAGGAAGAAGAGAAGAAGGAGAAGAAGAAGAAGAAGAAGAAGAAGAAGAAGAAGAAGAA